TCGTATTCACCTTGTGCTAATAACTCTTCACCAAGCTGTATCTCTTCAAGGAAGAATTTCTGAACAGCTTCAGCATCTTTTAAGTCAGGTAACTTGGAAAGCCCAGCTCTCTCCTTAGCAAGCTTCTGTTTCTTTCTTCGTTCTCGAAGCCTGTTCTTGAAGTTGGGGTCACTCCGCCTTTTGCGGTCAAAGTAGATGCAGTACCCGATGAAGAGGGCACCGCACACGCCCGTGGCGATGGCACTGTTCCGGCCCACCATCTTCGCTCGGCTGGCAGATTTTATTTCTTTATAAGTAACTTTATTGCTTTATCTACTCCCCACTCTCATTTTTCTCCTATCCCTTCATTCCTTTCAGTTTTTCATATTCTGTGATTGATTCATCAACTAGTTTTCTCCCATCTTTTCAATCCTTTCTGTAACCACATTGTATTCCTTTGCATTTCTATAATTATGGACTATATATGTAACAATTTCAAATGCCCTTCATTTTGACGCTTCAACTTTGAATGATGTGAAGGCACATGTATAGAGATAGACATAAGAACATGTAGGTATGTGTATGCAATTGAGTATATGTACATATATATAAGTGTATTCTTCTATTGAATTCATATATTTTTGTTATTAAAGTACATTTTTATAAATTTTTTCTCACAACTAACCTCATCTTTTTATTAGATATTACATATAGATAAGTCCTTTACATTGTGTGTAATGGGAGTTAGAACACATATACATGTAAAGTTGTTATGAAGCACACAATTAAAGTGCTAATTTAATTATGATTTATACAATTATTTAAACAATAGAACTCAACTAATAGACTATTTTAGGAGCTTCTTAGATATCTCATTAACATTTTTCTTGATTATAGACAGAATACACTCATTTGTAAAGAACTTCTTGTCTTTTATGATAATAGTTTCCTCATTTATTTTCCTTTATTGTATTATTATGCTTATTAATGCAGACTAATTTTAGCTACTTAGATCATTAGATATGCATATAGGAACATTATATAACTACTACTTTATTGACTTGTTAAATGTATGCTCAGGTTCATATTAAAATTTCTTAATCTAGTTCATTTATTTTCTTGCTATGTAGCAGTGCTGTCCATGTTGTTGGATCTCGGATCATCAATCCACAATGAATGTGAATGAACATACAAAAATTTAAATGAAAGGATTATATATTTATTGATGTAACCAACCGTTTTATTAAATAAGAAACACAGAAATAATGCAAAAGAGAAAGC